GCAATCTTTTTTTAGTTTGTTATACGCACAGCCTTTCAACTAAACCCAGTGTTTCTTTCTCTGTGAGCATTCTCCCTTCGAGAGTTTGAAAACATAACTGTACGTCATATGATCTTGATATAGTAATAATCGCGCAGGGTCCGATCGCGCCATAATTTATTTATTACTAGATCCCTCAAAAAGTATTAGTCTGTTAGAACAATTCTAGCAACGATCTGTTACTAGTAATTAACCCCTTTCTTGCATTGTTTCAACTGTATCTTCATTTGTACAAAAGGGAATAATAAACAACTCTGAGTATTTGACTCTTTCGTACATCCATCATTACCATCGCTCGAACGTATCAGAATTAATTGTAGTTCTAGCATTTTTGTCGCTCTTGTTAAAACCTCATCCTTTTTCAGAAATTCGAGTTAGTTGTTACTTCTCTGAGCCAATTCTCAACTTTGATAAATTGGAATACGGACAAGAAGCTCGGATTGCAATGAGGGTATAGTAACGCCTATACGACTTCCTCTTCCCCTGCTGTTCGGAGGTTCAATTAGTAACATTCTCTAAACATTGTCAAATCACGAAAATGAATTCGACGGTCCAGTCGTTCATTCTGGCCGCGTTCCCTACGATGAAATTATGTTATTAAATCCAATCCCAACAATTTTCCCTTCTCTTTTTCGTCCCACTAAATCAGCACGTAAGGTCTTCAAGCCCCCAACACGCTGTTACCGAATCGAATGGCACAGTTTTGGTCATTCGAGATGGTAACGCTACCGTTTTACCATATCCTTGAATACCCGTATCACGCTACTATTCACCTAATCATATACGAGTAAAGAATACTTGCCACTACATCGGTCGAGAAGAGCTTTTGCCCTCCCTGCTTTCAACCCCCATCTCTGATCCCGACTGCGAGCTTATAGATCACTCTGGAATGTTCCAGCTTGAGGCGTTCCCTGTCGAAATAATAGGATATCAACAATGCGAATAAATTGTTCAATGTGATGTCACATGCTTTGACAATTACTTTAGCATTCTTTTATTAAAATTTCCGACAGATACAAAAGTCTCGATATCAGATGCTAATCTTACATCTCGCTAGACTAGACATAAACTTGACGTTAAACGGAATCGTTCATTCCCTATTTCATCCCTACTAGCTGGGCTCAGCCATGTAAAGACTTATAGTTCGATAGCTTCGTATTAAACCAAGATTAATACATTTTGGTAAATCAAAAACGTATATATGTTACGGTGGGAATTTACCAGCACGATTCAGCTGTTATAATTTAACGGAAAGCTACTCCTTATCTTGTGCAAGGGGATTTGGAAGAGATGACCATTGTTTAGTCTTCAGAGGAATTATCATCAATCCCATAATATGGATTTAACACTCGAGCATGGGTTATCTGAAAAAGTGAAAAAAGCGTATAAGCATATCGATCTCCGTTTGTCAACCTTTCACATTCCAACTGTGCCACCACCAATCTTCTTTCGTTGAGCCCCTCCACCCTACCCCGATTCTTTACGTCTTCTCACCTGACACATTTGGCAGGCCAAGATGAACGGCGGGTTTTCCTCGCTTTGACAGAAAAAGCACTTTTCAGCCAACATAGTCCGACAAAACTGGTGCTCACTCTCGCAGTCTCTCGGCAATTCGATCGAAAAGTTGCGTGGCCAGTATCTTATCCTGGCTGTTTCCCAGAGCTTTTCTATTATTGGTATTGAGGAACAGAGAATGCTGGCGAATCGATGACATACGCGCGTGAGGTTG